TGGGAGACTTCATTCTCTTGTAGCTTAGATAGCCCGGCATGTAACTCGGGAAAAATAGAGGAGTGTTTCTCCTTGCTAACCAAAAATCAGGTTCACTAAGCTTTTTCAACAATTTGGGGTTTTAAGTTCCTTCAATGTACGTTTTGCATAATTAACAGAAGCTAAAACAACCAGTTCAGGAATCAAGATGCCAGTTAAATTGATTACCATACGTCATACAGAACAGGACGACTTTTTCAAGAATTGTGATAAAAAGAAACCTGAGAAGATGAGTTAATAAACAGAAAGAAATATCTTACAAATTAAAAGTTCAAATTGGACGACTAGAACACTGAAAGAAATCAATTAGAGTAGGACCTAAAGCAGAAATGTTTAGTCGCCATAATAAACATGGAACAAAAAATTGGAAGTCAACATCTAGGAACTAACTGCCTCTGCCCGAACTTAGGTAAAAAGCTCGAGTCACCTTCATAGATTTTCAGGAGTCGAGGAACACTTTCTTCAAATTTGACCACAAAATTTTCCAGAAACTTTTTCTCACTGAGTATAATAACATAATTTAGGGACACATTTTCTTTGATTAAACCCTTCATTTTCAAAATTTTAACTACTGACCATCTAGGAGCAATCCTCTGCTTCAAGCTATAACTAAGAATCGTTGGGCATCCAGCAACATCTTCCGACCTTAAACCCATTTCATCCACAAAAAACTTCATTGTGTCTGTGATTTTCTTCGCTGACATACACATGATTTGTGGAAACTTACTGAATGCCAAAAGAGTGACATCTCTGGGCCAGCCACAACTCTCAAAGGCATCCAGTTTCGACTCCCAGGTTGATTTACTCATCTGTGTCACAGCTAAAAGTGCTTCAACAAACGCAGCCTCGGAAGGATTTATTCCTGTTTCCTTGACAAACTTGACATATTCGACAAACATTGATTGATTCATAAATGCTACATTTGCACGTCTACATAACAGCGAAACGACCGAACATTGAGGCATCCCCTCATCCCTCAAAACCTTTAAGTTTGGAAATATATTCTTCACATCATAGGAGCACATAGTCCAAGCAGAGTATTTTAGACATTTCCTTACTTTCCGATCATCATCAAGTACACTTTTAAGGGCCTCATAGTGGGGAATTATACGTTTCTCTAAGCTATAAATTAGTAATTTAGGGTTAAAAGAGAACAGGTCTGAGAGTTCAGAAGCTGAAAAGCCTATCGAATGGATGAATCTCAGTTTGGGCAAAAGACTGTGCTCGGGATTTGCCAATAGCAACCGTGGATAGTACTTCACAGTTCTGGATATCTGAGTATCTGAGAATCCGTAACTCCTGAGAAGACGAAGTACTGAGTCGTGTTTATCCGGGTCTTTCAGTTCAACACTTTTCGATATTTTACCAGCAACTTCGGCGGACATGCCCAATGAGTTCATGAGGTAAGAAACCGTAAAAGGAAAATGCCCATCTCTATTTTGTTCTGGTTGATGTGATTGAGATAATTTGGCAACCGAATAAAATGAATAGGAGATGTGGGAGGCATTGTGATGGAGAAACCCTACCTGGGTTGTCCTCCAGCATGGCAGTGAAGAAGATAATCTTGCAAACAGCAAAGTTAGCATGAATGATGGTGGCAATGAGAAACTCACCAAATGTAAATTGGTCAGCTACAATTAAACCGGCGAGCAGTACGATCCTTCAAATTCTGCTACTCGTAGAAAAGGAGACTTGGACAATTTGACCTCGCAACGGAAATGAACCCCGATTGGAGAATGGAAGACCACCCAGACAAAAAAAGGAGTCAAGTTTGTGGACTCGCACGATGTATAATTTTTGCCGTTCTGACCACCGCTTTCTTAGCCGAGTGGTATGCGTGCGTGCGTACGGGTTCGAGCCCGCTCCTCGTTTCACAAAAAAAAAAAAAAAAAAAATTTGCCGTTCTGAGCTACGCAGGCTCCCCGCTGGGCAGTGGCAAGGGATCCAAGAACATCTAATAAAAGAGACGGTTCAAGAAGAGACCAACAGACCTCAGGGTAATTTTTTATCCGAGACTCTCCCAAAATTCTTATTTTTGTTATATAATGGTTTCAAGGACCGATGGAAACTCACAAAAATTAAATACTGCTTCGGTTCTTAATATAAAATTTAATTAATTAATTTAAATAAATTAATAATGTTAATTAAATTAGCTAATATAATATATATTTTTAAAACATTATCAGCACTTTTTTTCCCCCTAAACTCTCTCACTTTCTCTTCTATTTGATTATTATTAAAAAAATTAATAAATATGTAAAATAAATCTTATATATAAAATTAGTATTAATTCTCCAATTAGTTTATACATTAAAGAGTGGAGGAGTATGATTTTTGTTTTTGGAGAAGTGGTGACCCGAGAAATTACATGCTTCATAAATGACAAACTTGTCAATTGGTGATAATGTGAACAGAAAACACACAAATAAATTTGAAGTATTGTTTCATTCATATTTTACCTTAACTTATTTGGTGAGAAAAAATAAAGAGAAGACAATCAGTTTCAGTTAGGAATTTACACAAATCGAAAGGTAAAAACATTATGAAACAGAAGCACCAAATAAGCCATGATTCATACTCGTCCAAAAATCATCTAATCCTATTTATTAGACAAAGAGAGGAGATTTTTATATTCTATCATAAGTCACTCTATTAAATTTTTAATATAAATATACCCTTTATTTATTATTATATGAATTGTGTTTTCATAAGAACATATATATACATATTAGGGGTGTTCAATTTGTCCCGTCCCGGTCGTTCCGTCCCTGTCCCGGTGAGTTCGAGAAGGGACGGGACGGGACAAAAAAAATTTCGGGACGGGACAAAGACGGGACAGTAACCGGGACGGGGTTGTCCCGTCCCGGGATTTTTTTTCTTTTAAAAATTATTTATTAATAATTATTATTAGATTATTCAATTTACTTATTAATAATAATTCTTATTTTTATGGTGATTTGTAGCTCTTAACTTAAGTTGTAGTATTATCTTAACAAAATTTCCTTTTTCAATAAAATAATTCATAAAGTCATTATATAGTGTTTTTTTTTTACGATATTTTTTTTATAGTATTATTTTTACACCTTTTTTATGCTATATAATTAAGCTTTCTACATAATATTTTTTTATAATGTTTTTATCTTTAAAAGCCCAATAAAAAATAAGTATTATAACATAAAAAAATTCATATAAAAATTATGGTATTTTGTTTTTTTAAAAAAAGGGGGAAGCAGGACGTTCCGGTCTTGTCCTGGTCCCGTGACCGGGACGGGACAGGACACGGGACAAAATCCCTGTCCCGTCCTTGTTTATCGGGACGGGCCTGTCCCGATCCCGTCCCGTCCCATGAACACCCCTAATACATATCAAGTAACATCAAATTAGAAAGTCATTAAATTTTAAAGAGTTAATAAAATTTAAAATTTTTTTATAACAATTTAAAATTTTTTTAATTCTAATACAACATGTTAGAAGTCAATTACTTATAAATAGTACAAAAAGAGTAAAAATTAACAACTGCTATCATACACGAGTGATCAGAGTTCTTCACAACAGCCTACCAAATTATGCATTTCGAAAACTCGGTGTTAATGAGGCAGCAAATTAGTTTATTTCAATTTCCATTCCCTCAGCAACAGCATTAGGTAACTTTCATTCTCAAGCATATGCATTTATTACCTTATTTTAGACGCTTAACAAAACTGAAAACAACTAGATGAGTTATTTTCATAGGACATGCTTGATTATTAAGAAGATTTGAACTAGAATTATGTTTCATTAGAAAATTGATTGATAAACATCACATGGGTTATTAAACAGCAGACGATGTTCCTTATAGCTTAAAGATGCAGAGCTTTAACTGTCTAATGTTGTAACGTGCACAAGCAAATGACATCAAAGTTTAAGTAAGGTGACAAAACATTTAGGGTCCGTTTGGAACAGTTTATAAATAGTTTATAAGTAGCTTTTTAATAGTAATTTACGGAATACAAGACAAGTATGTAAGAAAGATTTTGTCTCAGTTTACGTAAAACGTATTTATAGGGGATTTCTTAAGCCCTTCCAAACTGACACTTAATCGCTAGCAATAATATCATCAAATACTCTAGCAGCTTAAGCTGCTCTTGGATGAAACTCAGGGAGGAAACAAATAGGGCTATTTCCACCCATGCGAACCAAAATTCAGGTTCACTAAGCCTCCTCAATAATTTGAGATACTAAGGTCCTTCAGAACCAAGATGGCAGTAAAATTGCTTGCCATATGTCATATATAACAAAAAGATTTTCCAAAAATTATGATAAAAAGAAAACCATCAGACGAGTTAGTAAACAGAAACAAGTATCGTTTAAATTTGAGTTCATACCACAACATTTTGAAGCAGAACATTTTAATGACTGCAATCATCAAGGAAACAAAATATTGACACGGTCCTGAGTCTTAACCTCCAGGAAACTGCCTAGGCCTGAACATCGGGTAGAGATCTCAATTCACCCCTATAGGTTTTCAGTAGATGAGGAACATTTTCTTCAAATTTGATCACAAATCTTTCTAGAAACTTTTTCTCACTGTTTCTAATAACAGAATTCAGCGACATCTTTTCCTTGATCAAACCGTTCGTTTTCAAAATTTTAACTACTGACCATCTAGGGATAATCCTCTGCTTCAGGCTATAGCCAAGAATTGTTGGGCATCCAGCTATGTCTTCCAACCGCAAACCCATTTCATCCACATAAAACTTCATTTTGCTCGTTATTTTTTGCTCTGACAACAACATGAAGCGTGGATACTTGCTGAATGCCAAAAGAGTGACATCTCTGGACCACCCACACCTCTCAAAGATATCCAGTTTCGACTCCCAGGTTGATTTAATATTTAATCACTGAAAATAACACTATCTAGTTCCCTTTGACTTGAGATGGCTGGCAAGTAACTCAGGAGAAAAAGAAACCAGTATTCCCGCCCTTGTGAACCAAAAATTAGGTTCACATAAGCCTCTTCAATAATTTGAGGATTTAAGGTCCTTCAGAACCAAGATGCCTGTAAAATTGGATGCCATATGTCATATATATAACAAGAAGATTTTTCAAGGATTACGATAAAAAGAAAACCTACAGATGAGCTAGAAAACAGAAAGAAATATCTTTAAATTTAAAATCCATACCATAACATTTTGAAGCAGAACATTTTAATAACTATAATCAACAAGGAAACAAAATATTGACAATGTCCTAAGTCCTAATCTCCAGGAAACAGCCTAGGCCTGAATATCAGGTAAGAATCCCAAATCACCCCTATAGATTTTCAGTAACTGAGGAACACTTTGCTGATATTTAACCACGAAATTTTCCTGAAAATTTTTCTCGCTCATACTAATCAGGTAAGGAATGGACACGTTTTCCTTGATTAAACCCTGTATTTTCAAAGTTTTTACTACTGAACATCTAGGAATAATCCTCTTCTTCAAGCTATGCCTAAGAATATTCGGTCGTCCAGCTATATCTTCCAACCGCAAACCCACTTCATCTATGAAAAACTTCATTGCGTCTGAGATCTTTTTCTCTGACATAGCCATGATATTTGGAACCTTACTAAATGCCATGAGTGTGACACCTTGGGACCAGCCAAATCTCTTAAAGATACCCAGTTTCGACTCCCAGGTTGATTTACGCAACTGAGCTACAACTATAAGTGCTTCAACAAACCCAATCTTGAAAGGTTCGACTCCTGTTTCCTTGACAAACTTGACATATTCTGCAAAAATTGATTGATTCATGAATGCTACATTTGCACGTCTAGATAACAGGGAAAAGACCAAAGATTGAGGCACTCCTTCATCTCTTAAAACCTTTATGTTTGGGCCGATATTTTTTACATCATAGGAGCAAATACTCCAAGTAGAGCATTTTAGACATCTCCTCACTTTCCAATCATCATAAAGCACACTTTTAAGGGCCTCATAGTGGGGAATTATACGTTTCTCTAAGCTATATAACACTAATGCAGTGTTATACGAGAAGAGTTCTGGGATTTCAGCAGCTGAGAACCCCACAGACTGCATAAACCTTAGCCTGGGCAAAAGATTGTGCTCAGGATTGGCCAAAAGCACCCGTGGATAGCACGTCACAATCTTGGATATCTGTGGATCTGAGAATCCGTAGCTTCTCAGAATATTAAGTACCGAATCCGGTTGATATGGGTCCTTCAATTCAATCCTCTCAGATACTTTACCAGCAACTTTGGCAGACATGCCACATGAGTTCATGAGGTAAGATTGCGTAAACGAAAGATCCCCATCTCTACTTTGTTCTGGTCGACTTGACTGAGATAATTGCGCAACCGAATAAAACGAACAGGAAATGTGGGATGCATTGCGATGAAGAAACCCTAACTGGGCTGTCCTCCAACACGGCAGTGACGAAGATAATCTTGCCAACAGAAAAGTTAGCATGAATGATGATGGTAAGAAACTCACTAAATAGACGAGTAGTCAGCTCCAATCAACCCGGCAACTAGCATAATTCCTCAAATTTTCCCAAATATGACGCTTAGAATCAGACAATCAGCAAATAAAGAACGAAGAAGGGAATAGAACCCAGACAACGTAAGAGAAGAAGGTGAGCAATCCTGTAACCTTTTGCATTTCCTATGTATACACCTCGCTATTTCGGGTCAGGCAGCATCATCGAATCTGCATCTTTGGCACATTGACGAAACAATGGAACGGAGGCGCGAGGGAGATTGAGAAGGCAAAATTTGTCGAAGCATCGGTGCACCTCGTCGCAAGAGTTTTTAACTTTCTACCCCTAACTTCTTCCATACTAAGCTTCCCTCTTAAATCGATTACCACCTCCTGCAATTAACCTCGTGTAATTAACTTAATTAGTATAATTAATACTTCTTTCGGTCCTAATTATAAGAGCTAGTTAGTTAGTTATTTATAATAAATAGGTGTTGTCTTTTCTAAAATATCCTTACTAATTAAGTATCTTGGCTAGAATTATTATTGTTAGAAGAACTATTTTGGAAAAAAAATATACAAATATGAGAGACAAAATGAATTAAGGTCTTATATTTAGGATCAAAATAAAAGTCAAATAAAGTCTTATATTAAAGACCGGAGGTAGTATTTGACTTTTATTTTAGTTCTAAATATAAAATCATATTCTATTTTGTCTCTCATATTTATTTATTTTTAAATAATTCTTGTAATAATGGTAGTTCTAGCCAATACACTTGATTAAAAAGAATATTTTAAGAAAAATAGCACATGATTATTACAAATAACTAACATAATTAATTTTTTTAATTTATTTAAATCAGTCCACTAGTTTTTATATTAAGAGGGAAAATAGTATTTTTATTCTAAATTTCTATTTAGTTTCATTTCTTTGATGGCATCAAATCTAGTTGAGTTGAGTGCTTTCCAAGTAGATCATAAGCCCATCATTTGTTTTTGCATTGAAGCCTTTGATTTTTATTTGTTTTCTTTGTTTATGTAGATTTATATTGTGAAAACAAAATAACTGATGTCAACTCACAAATATAAAATAGAAAACTTTTTTTCGCGCAAACTTGTTCCCATTATTTGTTTACGCACAACAACCAAAACAAAAAGCAAAAGAAAAATATTTTATGAATTAGATATATTTATTGCAACCAAACCCACAATTTTTATATATAGCCTTTGTTTACAGTGAAAACTGATCAACTGGTCTTCTTTCTCGGAACACCGAACACTTGACGGTAGGAAAAGAAAAACACAGAAATGGATCTTCCATAAATGGGCCTTTTGAAGAATTGCAACTTTTGTGGTTTACTTTGTGTTTTGTGGGGCAGATGATAAGAAGTCATCCTGGCTGCTAAAGAACCCGAGAAATGTGCAAGGATGTGCACGTTAGAACTCCAATAAAGAAAAGTATCCAAAAAATTATAATAGCAAATTGGAAAAAACTTTTTTTTATTTAATCTACTATGAACTAATTTTTGTTTTATGAAAAGGAAAAAATAATATTAAATAACTAGACATGTCTCACATAGATAATATTACCTCCGCTCCTAATTTGTAGTTCAAATTAAAATATAAACTAAAGCTTATATTAAAGATAAAACTGAAAGTAGTATAGAAACAGGGTAAAGTGGAAGTTCAATAGTTTGATAAACAAGCAACCAAACCAAATGGGTTTTGACGGTATAAATATGAGAGGTTTGAATCTGAGAACGCGTGAATCTAAAAAATCTTTTTAGGAGATCTATAACCAAATCGAACCTGACAATATAAAAAAAAAAAATCTTATATTTTCTTTTTAAATAAAGATAAATATATAAAAGAGTTAATATCATCTTCAATTTTATAACAAAGGTATCAAAGTGACAGCAAATCACCTCATTTCAGTTTCCACTCCTTCAATGACAAAAGTAAGGCAACTTCACTCTCAAACATATCCATATGTTACATTGGCAGCCCTGAAAACAACCAGATAAGTATTTTTATGATATATTTGACTGTTATGATGATTTAATCAAGAATTATGATTACAAAATTTACTGAAAAACATCAGAGTTATTAAACAACTAGCAATGTTCCTCATAGCTGGAAGAAGCATGGCTATAAGTTTCTGATGTTTTTCTAATGTGGTAACTTGCACATGCAAATGACATCAGAATAGGGAAGCAAGGTGATCAGATATTTAATCATTGACAATAATCTTATCTAATTCTCCTGTAACTTAAGATGGCTGGGATGTGACTCAGGAGAAAATAGAAACAGGTATTCGCACCCTTGCGAACCAGAAATTAGGTTCACATAAGCCTCTTCAATAAGCTGACGATTTAATTTCCTTCAGAACCAGTATGCCAGTAAAATTGGATACCATATGAGAAAACCTTCAGATGAGTTAGTAAACGGAAACAATGCTCCAAAAAAATAGGTACATAAAGTGAAATCGATGGATTAAGGACCCAAGATTTCATCGTACGCTTGCAGGAAATAAAGAGGCAAAACCAAATTATGCCCCCACCAAAAGCAAGTTCCTTGCAAAAATGGTAATAATGAAGATTGAAGAACACTTATAATGGATATACCAATTACTCTTGGCAACCTTTTCTTCTTTACAAGAACTTGCCAAGAAAATTTCAAATCATCCAAAAGCACCCACAAAGGTTGTACTTCACTTCAGCATGTTAGTATTATATCAAAATTTCAGAATTTTTGCATCTTCTCCACGATAAAAGGACCTTCAACGTCAAACATATGCATATATTACTAATTTTGGCATGTTTGAAAGTAGCCAAAATAACATTCAGATGATTTAGTAAACAGAAATAAATATCCTGCAAATAAAAGTTCAAATTTGGCTACCATAACATTGCAAGAATTCAATTAGAGTAAGACTTGAAGCAAAACGGTTCATAACCATAAAACCAGGAAACTAAAATTTGAAAGTCATAAACTTCAAGAAACTGCCAACGTTGGAAATTCAGGTAGAGGTCTCAATTCACGAGAACCGCTGTAGAGTTCCAGCAGCTGAGGAACACTTTCTTGAAATTTGATCACAAAATTTTCCTGAAACCTTTTCTCACTCATGATGATAACAGAATTTAGGGACACATGTTCCTTGATTAAACCCTTCGTCTTCAAAATTTTAACCACAGACCATCTAGGAATAATCCTCTGCTTCAAGCTATAGCCAAGAATTGTTGGGCATCCAGCTATATCTTCCAACCGTAATTCCATTTCATCCACAAAAAACTTCATGTTGCTTGTGATTTTTTGCTCTGAGAAAAACATAATGCGTGGAACCTTACTGAATGCCAAAAGAGTGACATCCCTGGACCACCCACACCTCTCAAAGATATCCAGTTTCAACTCCCAGGTTGATTTATTCAACATTGTTATAACTACAAGTGCATCAACAAACACACGCGTGAAAGGTTCGATTCCTATTTCCTTGACAGAGTTGACACATTCAACAAACTTTGATTGATTCATAAATGCTATATTGGCACCTCTAGATAACAGAGTAAAGACAGAAGATTGAGGAACTCCTTCATCTCTCAAAACCTTTACGTTTGGAACTATATTCATTACACCATAAGAGCAAGCGTTCCACCTTGAGTTTTTCAAACATTTCCTTACTTTCCAATCGTCACCAAGTACTCCTTTAAGGGCCTCATAGTGGGGAATTATACGTTTCTCTAAGCTAAAAATTAGTAATGTAGGGTTAGAAGAGACTAGTCCTGGAATTTCAGAAGGTGAAAATCCTACAGAATGGAGGTACTTTAGTTTGGGCGAAAGCGTGTGCTCAGGATTTAATAAAAGTACATGAGGAAAGGATCTCACGGTTCTGTATATCTGAGTATCTGAGAATCCGTAGTTTCTAAAAAGACTAAGCACCGAGTCGTGTTTATCTGGGTCCTTCAGTTCAACCCATTTCGATAATTTACCAGCAATTTCGGCTGGCATGCCAAATGAATTCATGAGGTAAGAAACCGTAAACGAAAAATTTCCACCTCCATTTTTTTCGGGTTGATTTGATTGAGATAAATTTGCAACCGAAGAAAACGAATAGCGAAAGAAGGATGCATTGTGATGAAGAAACCCTAACTGGGTTGTCCTCCAGGTTGGCAGTGACAAAGATAATCTTGCAATCAGAAAATTCAGCATGAATGACGACAACGAGAAACTCACCAAATATCAATCTTCAACTCCAATTAACCTCCGAAGCAGCACGATTTATCTAACTCTGCCGTAGAATTGTGAAGCTATGGGAAGATTTTCCAACTGTGATTCAGAGAATCAACAAAGAGGAGGAAACCCAGACGCATTTCGGCTCGCCTCAGAAGTGGAGCTCTTTCTTTGACTATAAGCATTTACAATCCATAATTCTCGTCTTCCTAATGCTATTCTCAGTTACGCAGGCTCCACAATTGCCATAGATGCAGAAGCATCGAACAGAGGAGGACAGGTTTTCTTCGAAGAAAAATGAAAATAATATGCTTAGATCATGTCCTTCAATTTTTCACCTCTAATTTTGTGCGGCGTAACTTCTTATGTTTTTCCCCCCTCAAAAAGCTGAAAATTTATGCGTGGGTATGTGTATATTATATTATTAGTAAATTTTTTATATCAGAAAGTTATTAAATTTAGACAAATGTCAATTTTCTACATATACTTTCATTTTTAATATAAAGCTGATGACATTTAGTATTTTTTTTTACGGAAAACCATATTGAAGGTACCTGTACTTTCTCTCCATTTTTAATTTGGTACCTATATGTTTTTTTCCCTTTAATTAAACATTTGATTTTATCTTTTTAGCAACATTAGCTCTTATAACTTTATTCTATTGATATTTTTAGTCTCTACATAAGGATTAATGATGTTAATAGAGGAAAAATAAAGATTTAGTTAAGAACAAAAAACACATAGGTACCAAATTGAAAATTGAAAAAAAGTATAAGTTCCTCCAATATGGTTTTTTTTTTTTATTTAGATAAAACATGTTGACAATGATGAAAGAAGTAATAAAAATTTCATTTGGAAATGATTTTTAACTATAGTTAAGATCATAAGTCGTCATTCATTTTTTCTTGCCAACCGTCATTCTCACATACAAAGAAAAACAAAATTTTATATTTGTTGTCACTAGACTAGAGGTGAGTAGAGGTGAACGGAGACCAAAAACCTAATCGAACCGAATTTATTCTGGTTTTTTGGGTTTTGATTGAGATTTTGCATGGCTGTAAGAAGCATGACTATAACTTTCTGATATTTTTCCAATGTTGCACGCGCAAATGGCATCAGAGTAGAGAAGCAAGGTGATCAAATGTTTAATACCAACTCATGTACTTAATATAAAATTAAGTTGAGTAATTTAAATAGATTTAAAAAGTTACTAAATTATTTAATTATAATATATGTTTTTTGGCCACTGGAAGAAAACTTCATTATATGAAAACAAATACAAGCACTAGTACAGATTTTGAAAGACCAAAGACTGAACTAGAGACCAGTAACATATAACTAGCAACAAGACGACAAATAGAGACTCAAACCAACAAGGCCAAAAGAAACCTACATGTTGAAGGATGAAGGTGAATAGGTTAGCTTTCATTCTACCATGATCAAAAGAAAAAGCATAAAACATGCTCTATTAAGCAGCTGAGGGTGATTGTTCAAAAACAAGTTCTAAGAGCTCACCCTTTTTAGTGCTAAGGTTACAAAACCGAATACAGCACCAAATATACCTCCTAAAACAGAAAGATAAGAAAATATTATTTAATTATTATATATGTTACGTCATCTCTTTAAAATATTTATATTTATCATTAGATTATATATCTATTTGTCAGTAAGACAAATTAATTCAAAGAAAAAACAGTAAATATAAATACTTTAAAGTAATTTAATAATTTTCTTAATCTTTTCATACTGGTCAATTGAGTTATATATTAAGTACTGGAGGCAGTAACAGATAATAATATTATCTAATTCTCTTGTAACTTAAGATGGCTAGGAGAACACTCTTGCAAACCAAAAAATATGTTCACACAAGCCTGTTCAATAATTTGAGGTTTTAAGGTCCTTCAGTGTAGCTTTGGCAAACTTGTGGTCTTTGGAAATAGTTTACAGAAAAGAAGATTCTAGTAAGATACACTGGGGCAATAAACATGTTGATGACTGCAATTTGCGGTTATAACAGCACCATCATATTTCTCTGCACCCAGCGGAAAAGGAAACAGTGATCAATTTCTTCACATTATCAAAATCTAAATCTATTGGCACTGATAAGATGGATTGAAGAATGAGATAGACAAATCACTTTATTCACAGTCATTAAGGCTTCAGAGTTTCATCATTCAATGCTCTAAAAGAATGGGTACATAAATCAAAATGGATGGCTGAAGGAAGGGTCCAAGATTTCATCATCAGCTTGCAGGAAAGAAAGAAGTAAAACCTAACCATGGCCCTAGCATAAACAAGTTCCTTGCAAAGATGGTAATAACGAAGAACACTCATAACGGATAAACAAATTACTTTTGGCAACTTTTTCTTCTCCATGAGAATTTGAACTCGCAAAGAAAATTAGAAATCATCCAAAGGCACTAACAAAGATTGATCCTGACTTCAGCAGTTCAGTATTATATCAATTTCAGAATTTTGGTTTCCTCTCCACAACGAAAGGACCTTCAGCATCAAACATATGCATATATTACCATTTTTGGCATGCTTTAAAGCAGCCAAAATAACCTTCAGATGATTTAGTAGACACTAAACAGATAAGAATCCTACAAATACAAGTTCAAATTTGGCTACCATAACATTGCAAGAAATCAATTAGAGTAAGGCTTGAAGCAAAACGGGTTAATAACGACAATAAACCAGGAAACCAAAAATTGAAAGTCATAAGCTTCAGGAAACTGCCTGCGCCAGAACATCAGGTGAAGGTCTCAAGTCACCGCCATAGAGTTCCAGTAGCTCAGGAACACTTTCCTGAAATCTGATCACAAAATTTTCCCGAAACTTTCTCTCACTCAAAATAATCATTCCCAGTATGGACATACTAGCCTTGATTAAACCCTTCATTTTCAAAATTTTAACTACCGACAATCTAGGTATAATCCTCCTCTTTAAACTATAGCTGAAAAGTGTCGGGCATCCAGCTATATCCCCCAACGGCAAACCCATTTCGTCCATAAAAAACTTCATATTGTTTGTAAGTTTCTTCTCTGACACTTTCATGATATTTGGGAACTTACAGAATGCCATAATAGTGAGATCCCTGGACCAGCCCAACCTCTCAAAGATATCCAGTTTCAACTCCCAGGTTGATTTACCAACCTGCGCGACAACTATAAATGCATCAATGAACGTAACCTTGCAAGGTTCAATTCCTGTTTCCTTGACAAACTTGACACATGCAACAAACTTTGATTGACTGATAAATACTAAATTTGCATTTCTACATAACAGAGTAGAGACAGAAGATTGAGGCACTCCTTCATCTCTCAAGACCTTTATGTTTGGATCCATATTCGTTACACTATAAGATCTAACGTTCCACCATGAGCTTTTCAAACCTCTCTTTACTTTCCGATCATCACCAAGTACCCTTTTAAGGGCCTCATAGTGGGGTATTATACGTTTCTCTAAGCTCCAAAATAGTAATGTAGGGTTAGAAAAAAATAGTTCTGGGAGTTCAGAAGCTGAAAATCCTATAGAACGGATAAACCTCAGTTTGGGCAAAAGATTCTGCTCAGGACTTGCTGCAAGCAACTGGGGATATCTTTTCACAATTTTGGATATCTGAGCATCTGAGAATTCGTAGCTTCTGAGAAGACTAAGTACGGAATCGGGTCTATCTGGGCCTTTTAGTCCAATCTTTTTTGATAGTTTACCAGCAACTTCAGCGGACATACCAAGTGAGTTGATGAGATAAGAAACTGTAAACGAAAAATTTCCACCTCCATTTTTTTCGGGCTGATTCGATTGAGATAATTTCGCAACCGAAGAAAACGAATAGGAAATGAAGGATGCACGGTGATGAAGAAACCCTAACTGGGTTGTCCTCCAGCATCCCAGTGACAAAGATGATCTTGCAATCAGAAAATTTAGCATGGTTGACGATGACGAGAAACTCACCAAATATGAATCTTCAACTCCAGTTAACCCCGGAATCAGCACAATTCCTCAAACTCTGCCTTAGAATTGTAAAGCTATGGGAAGATTTTCCAACTGTGAATCAGAGAATAAACAAAGCTAGAGGGTTTAAAATATATAACTCTCGTCCTCCTAATGCTGTTCTTAGTTAGGCATACTCCACAAATGCCATGGATACAAGAGCATCGAGCAGAGGATCAACTTGGCACAGCCATTCGTTTGAAGCAAATAACGAGGGAATGGTGCTGGTGAACCTAAAAGCCTTAATGATTAAAAAAAAAATTACATTCAAATAACCTGTTTATAAATGTAATAGATCTTCATTTGTAATTTTTTTATTTCGGTATTTTTTTTACTATTTTTCTTTGCTTTTTCCTATTTATATGTTGCAATTTAAATGACTTTGAAAATATTTACATTTTAGTAGATTAATTACAATTGAAATGACTTTGAAAACATTTACATTTTAGTTAGAAATAATATACCCGTGCTATATTTTAATGATAAAAGATTTCTTTTTCCTATTCATGTGTTACATGAACGTATAATTTTTGTTCACAAAAATATATATATAATTTTTTTCCTTTTATTTAGGTAATTTTTTTAGAAATTAGTTTTAATTTTCTTTAATTCTGATTAAACATAATGGAAGTCATTTATAAACAGAATAAAAAAAATTAATTGTAATTCCTATAATTAGATTTTTTTTTTTTAAGTTCATAAGTGGTCATTTTGCCACATCAAAAAAAGAAAACAAATTATATGTTTGTTGCCACGACATAAATTGTCTATGCTAGTGCTAATTCCAATCAATATTGGCATGCATAATTCAATTAAGCTTTACTACAAAAATAAATATCTATTGAAATAACATCATCATGTTTATTTTGAAATAAATATCTATGGAAATAATATTGCATCCTCATCATCATGTTTACGTACATAAAGTTTCTTTTATTTATTTTATCAATTTCTCTAATTATACACGATTGTATATCTTATCTTTTTCGTATGCATGCATCGCTATATATAATTAGAAAACTTGACATATTGAATATAAGGAATGTTTGACCCAAAAAAAAAAAGAATATAAGGAATGTGACCTACGTTTCATCCTTATTAAAAATCTGGAGTTCATATAATTGATAAATGTGTACTCTTCCTAATTTTCTAGGAAGAATTTTAGTGAAGGAACTTATAACAAATTTATTTAAAACCAAAACTACAAAAATCTGAAACCCCATTACTGAAGACCTTAACGAAACTAAATTTCATTGCTAAACTACCTAAACTAAGATTTAAACTAAAAAATTGAGGGCAAAAGAAAGTCACCATCTCAAAAAATGAGTGAACTTCAACCACTTGCATGAAATTATTGTCGAAACTTATTTTGCAAAAGTGAAGTTTTTTTTTTTTTGGCTAAACACAAGTACTTTTCTTATTAAAGGTAATGTTATTTGAAATATTATGGATGTTGAATAGAGCGCATTTAAGTGCAAGCTCTTTCTCTGGGAATCTTGCACCGTAAGCTTTTTTCCCGTTTAGCGGAAACCATGTATCCACGTCATTTTCCCTCCTCCTTCAGATTTTTCATTTTCATTAGTTATTTGGTTCTTTTGAGAAAAATTCTCAAAAAATAATTATTCAATTTCAAAATTCAAATTAGTATTGGTTATTATACTTGTAAAAAAAAATAACTACACTCAAAAAGCAAATACTAACACATTTTTATAATAATTTCTGATTTGTCATTCTAAAATTCAACAGTCATTTTTTTAGAATTTTTTTTTGTTAGTAAACCTCTACAAGTGTTAAACCCGCACTTCAATTCTCCCTTTTAAAAATATTCCGAAAGTTATACTATCAGAGCAACAAAGCTGTTAACTTGTTGCTTTATCAAGTGTTGGATTGGATGTACAAATATTCAAACACTAATAACAACTCAACAACCATATTTCAAGAATTAGTTAGTTGATCATGTGTTAACAAGGGGTTTGCCACTGATCAAAATTGTTAGTGTTACACGTGTGCTATTATAAATGACATGCTGAGCATACGAAATTAACAAGCACCCTTAATGGAATCTGTCACAGTACTCTTAAAGTGTATGCTATTGTAAAGGACAGTTTGACTATTTGAAATTAATGAGTGCCCTTGGAGTATTGACAAGTGTATGCCTACTTGATGAGAATTGATAATCGGCTTGGTTTGCTTTTCGCATTTCTGGATAAGCAACAAGAGGATGGGCATACCAATTATGCATACTGGTTGAGAATGGGCTGAATCCAACAATAGCAGGCAGGGGAATTTCCACCATTGCAAACCAAAAACCAATTTCACCCAGTGTTTTCCAATAATTTGAAGTTTTAAAGGTCATTCAGTGTAAATTCTCTGCAACCATGTGATTCTTGGATATAATTTTCTGTAAAAACGATTGTACAAAGATGCAAAGGCACAAGCATCATGTTGCAATTTGCAGTCCACAAAATGAAAAAGGAAAGAATGACTAATTTTCTTCAGACTAATGAGTTCTACATAGGAGAAATTTTATTCCACTGGCACAGATAAGACGGAAAAAGCATTTTATTTAGGGTGTGTTTGGATGAAACCAAACCATGATTTGGAGAATAGCTTCTGGAGAATAGATTCTGAAAAGAATAGATTTTGTGAAAAAGTGATTTTGAGAAGTATGAGTGTTTGGATAGTTGTTATTAAAAGTACTTTTTATATATACAAATTGGCATAAATTAATATGATAATTATAGAAAAAATATATTTTATGATATATTTTAATTTGAAAGAATAAAATTGTTAATAATATATTTTTTATTAACATATATTAATAATATATAAGATAATATAATTAATAAATAATTAATATGTATAAATATTTATAAGATATAAGATTAAATATATTTATAAAAAATATGTTTATAAAAAAAACAATAAGATACATATCCTATAGGCTCTCACACTCTCCCCTTTTTCCTCCAAAAGTAAAAAATTTCTGCTTTTCTCAAAACCATGGTTTTGAACCCAAACCATGGTTTTGATTTTTTTTAAGGGTGTTTGGCTAACATTTTTTCCAAACCATGGTTTGGGTCCCAAAACTATGGTTTGGGGTGCTTGCCAAACACACCCTTGCTCGGAGTTGCACCGTTCAAAATGGGTACAAGAATTAAAATCAATAGATATAGGATCCAAGATTTCTTCATAAGCTCACTGGAAAGAAAAAGGGGCAAAACCATATTACAGGCCAATCAATATCAAGAGGTTGCAAAGATAGTGACAATGAAGCGCACTCTTCTAGGGGCCATGTTAATTAAAAAAGCAAGCAATGTTATTTGCAGCTTAAGCATGGGTATGACTTTTAGTATTGAAGCTTGTACATGCAAATGACACCAGAGTTGAGTAGTAAAGTCATACAATATTTAATCCCCAACAGTGACATCATCTGAGTCTCATCTCATGTAACCAAAGATGGTCTAGGGTAAAAATGAGGGCTAGTGACAATTAAGAAACTCTTAATGGCTGCATCAATTCCTTTTGGTTACATCAACTCTGAATGGCCACATCAACAATTTGTCAAAAAGCAATTAAAATTTTTTGACAATTCAGTAGGTTAATATTATATCAAAATGCCTGGAGTTTTTGCTTCCTCTCCAGATCGCAAGTACCATCGTATCAAACATATCCATATATTATGTTTTTCACGTGATTAACGGCAGTAAAAAATAACCAGGTCCTGAACCAAGATGCCAGTAAAATAGATTACCATACGTCATATATGACAATAAGACTCTTCATGAATTATGATAAAAAGAAGCATGATTTATAACATTCAGATGAGTTAGTAAATAGAAAGAAATATCCTGCAAATTAAAAGTTTAAATTGGGCTACCATATAATTGAAGGAACAGATTAGAGTAAAACTTGAGTTGAAGCATAATAGTCCAATAAACATAATGAACAAGGAAACAAGAATTGACAGTCATAAGCTCCAGGAAACTTTCTATGCATGAACTTCAGGTAAAGGTCCCAGTTCACCTCTGTAAAGTTTCAGCAACTGAGGAACACTTTCTTGAAATTTGATCACAAAACTTTCCAGAAACTTTTGCTCATTGGCTATAATGATGGAAATAGGACTCGTATTATCCTTCACTAAACCCATACTTTTCAAAATTTTAACAACTGACCATCTAGGAATAATCCTCAGCTTCAAGCTAAAGCTAAGAATTGATGGGGATCTAGCTATATCTTCCAACTGTAGACCCATTTCATCCACGAAAAACTTTATTGTGTTTGCGATATTTTTCTCTGACAAAGCCATCACACGTGGAAACCTACGGAATGCCGAAAGAGTGACATCCCTGGACCAGCCCAACTTCTCAAACATATCCAGTTTCGACTCCCAGGTTGATTTATTCATCTGTGTTACAATTATAAGTGCTTCACCGAACGCAAACTTGAAAGGTTCAATTCCTGTTTCCTTGACAAACTTGACATATTCACCAAACATTGATTGATTCATAAATACTAAATTTGCACGTCTACATATCAGAGAGAAGACAGAAGATTGAGGCACTCCCACATCTCTCAAAACTTTTATGTTTGGGACTATATTCTTTACATCATAGGAGCAAATACTCCAAGTAGAGCATCTTAGACATTTCCTTACTTTCCAATCGTCATCAAGTACACTTCTAAGAGCCTCATAGTGGGGAATTATACGTTTCTCTAAGCTATACAATAGTAATGAAGGGTTATAAGAGAATAGTTCTGGGATTTCATCAGCTGAGAACCCTATAGACTGCATAAACCTTAGTCTGGGCAAAAGATTATGCTCAGGATTTGCCATAAGTAACCGTGGACAGCATACCACAATTTTGGATATCTGCGGATCTGAGAATCCGTAGCTTCTAAGAAGATTTAGTACCGAATTGGGTTGATCTAAGTCTTTCAGTTCAATCCTTTTAGATACTTTACCAGCAACTTTGGCGGACATACCACATGAGTTTACGAGGTAAAATGCCGTAAACGAATGATCCCCATCTCTATCTTGTTTTGGTCCATTTGACTGAGATAATTGCGCAACAGAAGAAAACGAACAGGAAATATGCGATCCATGGTGACGAAGAAACCCTAACTGGGATCCCGTCCGCAATGACGAAGATAATCTTGCAATCAGAAAAATTACCATGAACGATGATGACAAGAAACTCACCAAATATGAGTGGCCAGCTCCAATTAACCCCGCAAACAGTACAATGCCTCAAATTTTCCGTTTGTATTCGATGGCTATCGGAAGGTATTCCCACTTGGAAGCGTAGAATCAGGCAATCAGCCACCCCGGACGAAGAATAGAGTAACAACTAGACCATTGAGTTGCCCCAGGGCTTAGACACACAGGAAAGTCTGAGTCTGATCAAGACAGAGAGCAAATTATAACAGGGATGTGTGTTGCAATCCGCTTTCTGGAATTCTGCTTTGGTATTGGGAAGCTGAGGATTTCCCCGCTCCGACTAGTAGAATCGGCGAGGAACAGGAGATTGAGCACTTGCAAGTTTAACTTGGTTAAAAAATTTATTTACTACCTCCTGTACTAATTAGGGGTAGCAATATTTAAAAAACTTCATTAATAACCCCAAGTGAAAGATCATTCATCTTTGAAAAAATTGTAATAATTTTCCACTCAAAAGAATTAAATGTGAAAAGATCCTTTAAAATTATCAAATTAATTTGAAGCTTCAAAGAACCTTATTACAAGAAATTCTATTTATGTAATTACCAAATTGTCCTTATCTTTTTTTAAAGTATATATTGATAACTAAAAATGCAGTCGCTAACAACTTAAGGTATAATAATTAATAATTATCACAACATGTCTTAACAACACATTTTCTCAATATCTGCTGTTATAGTTGTTAATTGTTACACTTTAAATTGTTAATAACTAGTTTTTAAGTTGTCAATGCATACTTAAAATAGAAATAAAGACAATTTGATAATTAAACAAATAAAATCTTTTACAATAAGATGTTTTGGAACTTCAAAATAATTTCATAATTTCAAGAAACTTTTTTGTATTTAATTTTTTTACGTGGGATCTTATTACAATTTTGCCTTCATTTTTTATAGAAGGTGCCTTAATTGTAATGGTTATCCATTTCTTCTAGAAACTGACCTTGTAATAAATAAAGAAGAGGGTAGAATGCGTGATTTTTCTCTTGAATAATTGATAAATAATACTCCCCTTATATTTAATGTATGATTTAATTTAAGAGTTGATATTGATCTTATATATAAAACCTATTTTACATATTTATTAATTTTTTCCAACTTAATCCTATTGATATTCTCTCAACAATAATTAAGTAGGAGAGGAAGAAAGGGAATTAAGAAAAATAATTAGGGTATTTAAAAAAAACAGATGATATTAATTAATTTAACTAACATCTTTATTCTACTCAAATTAGTTAATTAGATTTTACGTTAAGGGCCGGATCAATGTCTTTTGAGGTCAAAAGATAGGAATCCATAGAGCAATTACGTCACATATTTTACATGCCATTCAACTTTTAAGAAGCACAAGGGGAAGAAGACAAACAATCTTGTTTAAAAGAATTTCAGTTAAGTCATCTTGTTTTTATTTTCTATGTAATTTATTATTTAAAAAAGGATTTATTTTCTATTTAATAGATTAGTAGAAAGACTTGACATATCATTTAGATATTTTGAATTATTCTAAGAGTCTTTTAAATTTATTAGTAGTTTATATCATTTTAGATTAGGATTTATTATTTTAGAAATATAAATTACCAAATTGGGATCACAAAGATATTACTCCTCTCATCCTTAATATAAAGCCCCTTCTGTAGTGTAATTTACACTACAAAAAAGGTTTTATATTTATGACCAGAATAGTATTTAATATCTTAGTATATACTTGATTTGCATTTAAGCAGATGGCATCTTATCTTTAGAATATTTTCAGAATATTTTTCGAAAACTTTAGAATCAATTTTATCTATGGGACGATTCAGTTGTATTTAATTACTATGAGTAATCATGTTATAGAGCTAAGAATGAGAATTTCCTTTTACCAGTATTTACTTATGTTTCTGTATTCACCGTAAAATACAGTTAGGTTATAGGTTCATCTAGAGTTTTAGCTAATTAACTTCTGTTATTTTCAAGTCTCTTTTATTTTGCATTTCTTGAGTTACTAGAGGAATCTATATCACAAAGAAGAATGTAAAAACTGCCCATTAATACATGTTTGAAAGATTAATTGCTTAATAATATCGGATATGTTTTCACGCACAGAAAATATTGATATTATGAAGGATTCCATGCACAAAAAGTGCCAAAACTTCAGGATTGACTGCTGCAAATATAACAACACCATTATATTAACCCTCCCTCAATTTAAAGGGTAGAAAGTGATCAAATTTCTTCACAGCAGCCTCTCACATTATGCATATCTAGGATGGACTACTGTAAATATTCTATAAACCGTGTTAATGTGATAGCAAATTACCATCTTCAGTTTCCACTCCCTCGGTGATTAAGATGGTCGGGGATGTAACTCAAGGTCACCAAGCCTCTTCGAAAATTCGAGGTTTCAAGGTCCTCCAGTGTGGATTTTGAAACCCTGTGGTCCTTGGATATAATTTTCTGTTAAAAAGCGAATCCAGCAAGATGCATAGGGACCAGACAGGGCATCATGTTAAAGACTGCAATTTGCAGTTATAAAAGCGCCATTTAATCTCTCTTCAATCAGTGAAAAGGGAAACAGATCAATTTTCTTCAGACCATCATGCTTTTCACAGGAGCAATTTTAATCCATCACTGGAGTGAAAAATAAGATGGACAAAACACTCTTAAATAGCTACATGAATTGATCTTGGCAACTTTCTATTTTTCACAAGAACTTGTCCAGAAAATTTGAAATTGTCCAAAAGCAATCAAAGAAGATTGAACTCGACTTCAACAAATTAATATTATATCAAAATTTCTGAGTATTTGTTTCCTCTCCACAACTTAAGGACCTTCAGCATCAAACAGATCAATATAATACTCTTTCTGGCTCGATTAAAATTGGGCAACATAACCAGGTCTAGAACTAAGATGCAGGCAGAATTCATTACCACATGTCATATATAATATGATGACTTATTCAAGAATTACGATGAAAAGAAATTTGATTCATGACCTTCAGATGAGATAGTAAACAGGAAAAAAAATTCCTACAGGCTGGAAGTTCCAATTGTGCTATCATAACATCGCAAGAAATCGATCAGAGGAAGACATGAAGCAGAACAGTTTCATAACCATAATAAGCCAGGAAACCAGAAATTGACTAGGCCTGAGCTTCAGGTAAAGATCTCGATTCCTCTCTATAGAGTTTCAGTAGCTCAGGAACACTTTCCTGAAATTTAATCACAAAATCTTGCAGAAACCTTTTCTCACTCGGAATAATGACGGTAAATGGGGATCTATCATCCTTGATTAAACCCTTCATTTTCAATATTTTAACCACTGACCATCTAGGAATAATCCTCTTCGTCAAGCTAAGGCCAAGAATTGCTGGGCATCTAGCTATATCTTTCAACGGTAAATCCATTTCATCCACCAAAAACTTCATTGTGTCTGTGATATTTTTCTCTGACATACACATCAAAGGTGGAAACTTACTGAATGCCAAAAGAGTGACATCTCTGGACCAGCCAAGCCTCTCGAAGATATCCAGTTTCGATTCCCAGGTTGATTTACTCAACTTTGTTATGACCAAAAGTGCTTCAACAAACGGAGCCTCGAAAGGCATGATTCCTGTTCCCTTGATGAAGTTGACATATTCAACAAACATTGATGGACTCATAAATGCAAGATATGCACGTTTAGATAACAGAGTAAAGACAGCATATTGAGGAACTCCTTCATCTCTCAAAACCTTTACATTTGGAAATATATTCTTTACATCATAGGAGGACATACTCCAAGTAAAGCATCTTAGACATTTCCTTACTTTCCAATCGTCATCAAGTACTCTTTAAGGGCTTCATAGAAGGGAATTATACGTTTCTCTAAGCTATGTGATAGTAGTGAAGGGTTATATGAGAAGAGTTCTGGCGTTTCGGGAGCTGAAAACCCTATAGAGTGGATAAATTTTAGCCTGGGCAAGAGGTTATGCTCAGGGTTTGCAAAAAGCACTCGGGGAAACCTTTTCACAATTTTGGATATATGTGTATCAGAGAATCCGTAACTTCTCAGAAGATTCAGTATCGAGTTGGGATTATCTAGGTTGTTCAGTTCAATCTTCTTCGATACTTCACTAGCAACTTTAGCGGACATGCCACATGAGTTGATGAGGAAAGAAACCGTGAACGATTGATTTCCGTCTTGATTTTGTTCGGATCGATTTGACAGAGATGATTTCCCGAAGGAAAAAATGAATAGGAAATGTGGGGTGCATTGTGATTAGAAAACCCTAACTTGGTTCCCGTCCTCAGTGACGAAGACAATCTTGCAATCAGAAAAATTAGCATGAAGGATGACGACGAGAAACTCACCAAAAAAGAGTTGTCAGCTGCTAATACACCCGCGAGAAGCACGATTCCCCAAAATGCTGCTTTCGCTTTATCAAGCTACTAGAAATTTTTTTCCCACACCGACGCAATCAGCACAGCGAACAAATAATGGATTCGCAGTAAGATTATAAACAATGAAGGAGAAGAAAGCAATAGTTTCCGCACCGATTTCCATTTTTGGTGTATGAAGACTCCTTCCTTCCTCGCTCTCGCAATTTTGCATTAAGAAGGGCATTGGGTTGTCTCACATAATTAAATTAGAGTTGATACAAATTGATCTCTTAAATTATTTTCAAATTTTAAGCTTTAATTTTAAGCTATAAGTTGTGGTTTGACTTTCTTTTCATTTAAAACATGATTCTTATAATCTAATAAAAATTTAGACTATTTTATCTCTAAATGGACCAAAATCTATGATTGAAAATTTAAAAGGGTTAAAGTTTTAAACTATAAAGTTTATCCCCTCAAGTTTCTTTTTATTTAAAACATTAATTCTTATAATCTTCATATTAGAACATTAATTTTATAATCTAATAAAAATTGAATTATTTTACCCTAAAGGGATCAAAATCTATACTTGAAATTTAAAAAAGACTAAAATCAAAATAAAAATAAATTTAAAAGACCAAAAATTATATTAACCCATTAAATATTGCAAGAATTGTATACAATGGACCGTGAACAAAGACTTTGTTTCAAAAAACAAAAATTAACTAAAATATACTTTAATCCTCTAATTTTATTAAAAGTTTCAGCCTTTTTTAATTATTTATTTTAATTATTTATTTATTTAAACCATTAAATTATTGCAAGAATGTATACAATGTACCGTGAACAAAGACTTTGTTTCAAAAAACAAAAATTAACTAAAATATACTTTTAATCCTCTAATTTTATTAAAAGTTCAGCATTTTTAATTATTTATTTTTAAAAACGTTAAAAAAAAATAGAATATTAAGATTTTTAATTAATATAAAAATTAAAATATTCATAAATATAACATATTTAAATTTAATTTTTAAAAACGATAATGATTGTTATAAAAAGTTATCATTTAAAAATTAACAATTTTTGATAATATTAAAATGAACAATTTAAGATTAAGTGACTATCAAAATATATATTTTTAATTTAAAGTAAAGATCAAATCGAAATCCTATATAAAATAAGGAGCTAAATGTATGCTTTAAGGGGGAAAAAGGGAATGAAGATGGCAAAAAATAAAAAAGGAATTATTTAGTTAGATTGTTTATCCTCTTGAGATTAATTTAAAAAATGCTTAGATTTTAATTAGAATGCTTATTCAAAGTTAACTTTATTTTACCTACTTATTCTTATGAATCACACCCGTTAAATATTGATGTTGCATTATTAAAAATGAAAAATAATAACTAGTCACAATTAATTTTGGACTGTATATAATAAATTACTAAGTTAATATCATTTTTAGTCTTTAAAATTTGACCTCATTTTTATTTCGGTCTCTAAGATTTGAAATCTACAATTTTGATTCCTCTAACCAAACTCTTTTCAAGCACCAAAAAATTTATACGGATGAAAGTAAGGTCAAATTTCATAAATCAAGACTATTGTTTCTAAATTTCCGAAATAAAAATTAAAATAAGATTCAATTTCAAGGATAAAAGATAATATTAACCATTTATTAATTATTATATCGTATGCATGGAATTGGGCTACATGCCCATATCTAATACACATATTCATATGGATTTCTTGAGCGTATATTATATAACAAAAAAATTACTACACAGAGATCTTATTTTGGTATCAAAAATAAGATTTTGTGTTCCATATGTACCAAACATTCTTATAAAATTTTGACACATCATCAAATTATCTTGTAATGTAACTCCATGGAAAATAAATAAGGGTATTTCCAGCCTTGCGAACCAAAAATCAAGTTCACTAGAGGTTCTTCGTTCTCTTCAATACTTAGGTTTTAAGGTCCAACAGTGCAAATTTTGCAAAATTATTAGAACAATTCTAGCAAAATGCATACATAGGGACGATTTGCAGTTAGCAGTTATAAGTTAAAGAACCATTAAATTTCTTCACCAGTGAAAAATGAAACAGGGATCAACTTTTTGGAACAATCAAGTTTTGCATAGAAGAATTTTTAATCTAATGGCAAAGATGAGAAAATAAGACAGGCGAAGCACTTCATTCTGTCATAGAAGCTTCAGATTTGCATCATTCAAGGTCTTAAAAATGGGTATATAAATTAAATCAATAGATGAAGGATCCAAAGGGAGAGAGAACAGAGGCAAAACCAAATCAGGGACCTACCAAAATCAACAAGTTCCTGATAAAGACGGTGATTACAAAGAACTGTGAAGAAAATTTAAAATTACACATGGGCTTTTGGCGCCTATTTCTTCTTCATAAGAACTTGTGAAGAAAATTTAAAATTGTCCAAAAGCAATTACAAAAATGAAACTTGATTTCAACTAGGGGTGTTCAAGGCCGGCCGTCCTAGTCGACCCGTTCCGGTTCCAGTCTTATTGGGACGGGACGAACTCATCCTGAAATTTTGAGGACGGGACAAAAAAGGAACCGGGACGGGATGGGACAATGGATGGGGTCATCTCGCCCTGGTCCCGTCTCGGTTTCTTTTTTTTTTATAATTTTTTATCCTATTTGTATAATATTATTTTTTATATTTTTTAAAATTTGAGACGATTATATATGAAACTATAGATATATTTATTTAGAGTTTTTATATTTGTTGATAATTGATATTATTGATGATTAAAATTTTTAGCAAGATTTTATTGTGTTAAAAGCTTTTGTTTAAAGTTTTTAATTACTATTATATGTAATATTTTAGGCTTTTGTTGAAGAGTGTCCAAACAAATAAAAAAAATAAAAAGATGTTTTTATAAGACCAAACTCAAAAAACTATAATTAAAAAAATCAGATTTTATTAAAAAATTTTAAAATTTTATTAAAAAATAGAAAAAATATATATCTAGACGTCCTGGTCCCGTCCCGTCCTAATCGGGATCGGGACAGCACCGGAACGGACTGGGACACTAGACAGATTTTTGTCCCGTTACTGTTCATCGGGACGGGCATGTCCAATCCCGATCTGTCCCGTGAACAATCCTAATTTCAATAGGTTAATATCACATCAAAATTTAAGTTTTTGTTTCCTCATAAAGACCTTCACCATCAAATTTACGCTTTATTACTCTTTTTCGCATAATTAACATAGGACCAACCACTATGCCAGTAAAATTGATAACTATATGTCATATGACAAGACCTGTTCAAGAATCAAGAACTATGATAAAAAGAACATGATTCATAACCTTAAGATGAGTTACAAAACAGAAAGAAGTATCTTATAAATTAGAAGTTCAAATTGGGAACTCATAACGCTGAAAGAAATCAAGCAGAGTAAGAATTGAAGCAGAACGGCTTAATGACCATAATAAATCAGGAAACCAAAACTACAAGTCATTACCTCCAGGAAACTGCCTACGCCAAAACTTCAGGTAAAGGCCCAATTCACCTACATAGAGTTTCTGTAGCTGAGGAACACTTTCCTGAAATTTAATCACATAATTTTCCATAAAAATTTTCTCGCTGGTGGTAATCAAACGAGGAATGGACACGTCATCCTTAATGAAACCCTTCAGCTTCAAAATTTTTACTACTGAACATCTAGGAACAATCCTCTTCTTCAAGCTATATCTAAGAATATTCGGGCGCCCAACTATGTCTTCCAATTGCAAACCCACTTCCTCTATATAAAATTTCATTGAGTTTGTGATTTTTTTCTCTGACAAAGCCATGATATTTGGAACCTTATTGAATGCCAAGAGAGCGACATCCCTGGGCCAGCCGAATCTCTCAAAGATATCCAGCTTCAACTCCCAGGTTGATTTACTCAACTTTGTTACAATAACAAGTGCTTCAACAGATGCAGGCTTGAAAGGTTTGATTCCTATTTCCTTGACAAATTTGATATATTCAGCAAAAACTGACTGATTTATAAATGCCACATCTGCATATCTAGATAATAGGGTAAAGACAGAAGACTGAGGCACTCCTTCATCTCTCAAAACCTTAATGTTAGAAGATTGAGGCATTCTACCTCGAGCTTTTAAAACTTCTCCTTACTTCCAATCATCAATAAGTACACTTTTAAGGGCCTCATAACGGGGAATTATGCGTTTATCCAAGCTATACATTAGTAATGCCGGGTTATAGCAGAAGAGTTCTGGGATTTCATAAGGTGAAAAACCTATAGACTGAATAAACCTTAGCCTGGGCAAAAGATTGTGCTCAACATTTGCCACAAGCACCCGGGGCAAGCATGTCACAATTTTGGATATCTGAGCATTTGAGAATTCAAAGCTTCTGAGAAGATCAAGTACGGACTCGGGTTTATCTGAGTCTTTCTCAGTTCAACCCTTTTCGATACTTCACTAGCAACTTTGGCAGACATCCCACGTGAGTTCATGAGGTAAGAAACCGTAAATAAATTATTTCCATCTCTAGTTTGCTCTGGCTGGTTTGATGGAGATAATTTTGCAACGGAAGAAAACGAATAGGAAATGTGGGACGCATAGTGATGAAGAAAGCCTAACTGGGTTTCCGTCCGCAGTGAAGAAGATAATCTTGCAATCAGAAAAATTAGCATGAATGATGATGAGAAGAAACTTACCCAATATGGGTGGTCAGTTCCAATTAACCTAGCAAGTGGCACAATTCCTCATTTTCCGTTTGTGCTCGGGAGCTGTAGCCTGTAGAAAGGTTTTCCCACTCTTAGGCGGAGAGTCAGCTAATCTCAGCTGCAACGAACGATGGCATTGAAGAGGAACAAGAGAAGGATCATGGGGGGAAAAAGTTGCTATTTTTGGCTGCTCTCTCGAGTTTTAAAAGTGCTTCAAAATGATATTTCTCTGGTCAAATAGTACAGAAAAAGAATTTTTTTAATTCTATTTATAAGTTACTTCATCAATTTTTACTATGAACGTACTATGTTGTCATCCATTTGTTATAGTGTACATTTCTAGTCTGATCTTATTATAAATCACTTTCAATATATTTATACAGACTAAAAAAAACCTCAAACTTTATTAATTCTCATTTAAGATTCAATAACTTTTTAATTTTATCCTTCTTTAACATACATTATACTTCTCTGGTCTTATTTATAAGGTAGAGAGAGAAGAATTTTTTGTCCTATTTATAAGGCACTTTATTAAATTTTTAACACGAATATATTATTTTGTGCTTCATTTATAATAGTGCAAATAATTATTCTTTTGAAATGTATATATATTAAATTGAGATAAGTTAGAAAGTTATTATATTTTAATGAAGAGTTAATGCATTTTAAGAAATTTTTTTGGTATGTGTGAAATATGTTTGAAAGTGTGTTATAAATACAATTAGAAAAGTACATCATATAAACAAAGTCAACACAATAATAAATAAAGGGTAAAATTGTACATTCCATATAAAAAAATTTTCTCAATACCTTACAAATAGGATAAAAAAATGTCTTCTCTTCCTGCCCTATAAATAAGATCAGAGAGAGTAGATAGTTATTTTTTTGAAAGATGTATATATATTTGGCAAAAAAGAAAGAAAGATGTATATATTAAATAAGAGTAAAGTTGAAAAGTTGTTATATTTTAATAAAGAGTTAATATTATTTAATGTTTTTTGTTTGTGTAAAACATATTAAAAATGCCTTATAAATAAGATTAAATGAGTATACATTTTTATGAAGTTATAGGAAAATATTTTAAATGTAAAAAAAATTAAAACATTAAAATTTTTATTTTAAAATTTTGATGCTGACACAAAATAAAATAACCTAAATAAAAAGGAAGGAGAAAATCTATAAATCAAAAGAAAAAAAAAAAAATAACAGAAAAAATTATCTATCTTTTTACAACCAAATTAAAATCGAATTTCTTCTTTTTTTAATTTTTGGGCAACAAAATTTGATAAAAATATTATTAAATTAATTTTTTTTAATGATATGCTGCACCTTTAAAATCAAATTATTTACCTTTTTTTAAATTATAAAAATAAAATCCAATCCTTATATCAAATAGGAATAATAAATTAGTAATAAATCAATTGAAGATCCTTTCTTTGGATATAATTTTTTTTTTTTGGCCAAGCCTTTCTTTGGATATGGATATATAGTAATCCTATTAAGAACAGGAAAACAACTATTTTTGGCCAGACTAGGAATAGAAATTGAAACCTCCTCCCCCCCCCATATATAAGAATAAGAGTTCTTTATCTTTTACTGACAAGCTGTTAATTAAGATGATAAGTCATTTTGGTAAGAAATAGAACATAAATTCGAATCCTAACGCATTTGAAGACATTTTTGGACAATAATAGTAAGCACGTTCCTCAATAGGATAAAATCTTAATTGGCTCCTTCTGTTAGATACAATCTTATTTAGTAACTTAGTTTTCAAAAAGTGGTCAATGAAATCTTATCCTACTTATAATCTTATGATATGTACAATGCAATGAGTTTACTTTCTATTATAGCTGAAACATATTTTCTATATTCATGAGTTTTATTTTGGAAGAATCACAAATAAAGATGGTGAAAATGTATAAAATCTTAAATTAAGATTTTTTTTGTCAGAATCTTAAATTAAGATTTATTACAATATTTTAACAAGTATTGACAATAACTGAAGTAAATTTCAAGGATCTGGCAATTAATTTTTCTTTTTTTTTTTCCCCTCTTTATTGGGATGCAAATGAACTTTTCCTCTCCTTCTTTTTTTGGGCATGATTCCTCGACTGGCTTAACAAATCGAGAAAAATAGGCCAGGCTCAATGAGGCCCATTTGGTCCCCATGCAGGAAAAGGCAAAAAGGACAGCATCTCTAGAAAATTGACATGTGTCTATTTGGCAGTTGTATTTGTTTATTACTTTACTTATATTGGTACCCAGGTATCCAAGAAAATTTTCATTCGTTGAATCACCTTTTCTTTT